TAATGTTTTAAAAAAAGCTGCAAAAGTTATTTCTGTTTTAGTTTTATTTAAACGTGAACAACGATAGTTTTTGAAACAACGATCCTGCAGATGCTTATGATATTTAATTAACCCCCAACGAATCAAAGAGACACACTCCAACAATCCAGAAAGTCATGTTACGAAGCAAGTAAATAGCAGGCGCGCTACGGCAAGCAAGCAATATCCTTATCCAAAAATACCTGAAATTTTCTTAGCAAGGGAGGTTGCAGTTTTCACCACCGTATCGAGACCTGTGCAAGCTGCTGCTGTGTCACAAGTGCCTAATCCTTCCTCGAAAATGTTAGTAACCTGCTCCCATGTACACACAGAACCGTTGCAAATGTCAAATTCAATTGGCCATTCGTTTAGATAAAACTGGACCTTGAACTGTGACCCATGGTCACTTTTCGCCCCACACCTATATATTTTTAAAAAAGAGAGAAACATTTTATGTGGGCGCCATGGTCAGTCCGCAGACTCATACAAACGCGATTACGCAGTACGAAGTACTTACCGGAAAAGGGTTCCTCCGAAATTAGAAGCGAATGGGCTGAAATGGCTCACGTGCCATTGTCTCTCTCCTCTAAAAGAGTCGGTAAGTGGGGGCGAGTCTTTGAAAAGGCGAAGGAAGGTCACAACCTGAGGGTGTCGTAACTTTGTCAGGTACACCATTTTTCACTAAATAAAAAGCAATAGAACAATTAAATTATTTTTACGTTACCTGGTTCAACAGAGTGTCATGAGTGAAGTAAAAGCGCGCCCTTTCTTTAGTGGCGATCTTGTCATCTATCGCGTTCCTAAAACAATCATTTATCATTCTGTACCGGGGGCTCTATGTTTTCAGTCGGAATTGTAGCCAGCGAGCGAGAGATGTATACTTACTCAAAAAATGAGTACATTTCTTTGATGGGATTGCACCCTATCTTACTGTGAAAGTCTTCATCATAATAACCCGTTCGTTGGTTCTCTTGTAAGTCCGCCCAGTATTCTAAAACAACGAAGTCCTCGTCCTGAAAGACTGAGCACCAAGCGGGTTTATGGCCGGCCTTTGAAGTGTTCCAGGCTGTTTCTAGCGCACAGTCTGTGTACATGGCTTCAATATAATCTAAAGGAAAATATATTCAAATGTAGATAAACGAGTTTGTTCTTAAATATTGTGTGATGAGTCTATTTCACCTGGGCAGCCCTACCAAAACTTAGAGTTTCTTCAAATCCCAATCGAGTACTGACTCGCTGCATCATTTCCAACATTTCCGGCCCCTTTTGAAACGTGACGTACGGACCAGACACTAGGTATTTCACATATTGAGCATCGAACTTTGGGCACGTGGAAAAGAACTAGAAAAAAAAAACGAGAATAACATGTGTCCAAACTCAAAGCCCCCCTCCCAATTTCCCGTTTTTTTCGGCAAAGGGTTAAAATTTTCGAGATTGAAATTACGTCACAGAGGTAGTCGTAACCATCAGTGCTCGTGTCCTGGCGAAGCAGGCCCCTCCCGAAGTACTCCGCGCTCTCCTTGGTCCGCGCCGCCACTCCGTGCTTGAGCTGTGGAATACCGTGTGTGCACGGAAATACAGATTAGCTGCAGTATTAGTAGCTAAACCAATACGGGATAACTAATTATTAACCTATGTTGCTGAAAAGAACCTGTGTACCTTAACACTTCACAACAGGGCTAAATGCTAGGATACACCTACAGTTTTGGGTCATGCTGAAAAATTTGCTATACATATCTGAATAATTAGCAATAGCCATAGTTTTTCAGCCACCACAGATAATCTTGTCCACACGCACTAATCTCCGCAACCCGACACTTACCAGTATCCCATCCCTGGCCAAATCTCTCAGGAAGGGAAAGCGTCGTCCGAAGCGCGAACCGAGCCGCAGCTGGTCAGTCTGCCCCTGCTCCGTCAGGCCGTACGACGTCACCGTGTCCACGCTCGTCGTCCACTCCGCGATCGCCCGCAAGTCGTCTTCGCACAGATCAATGTCTCCTGAGGGAATCAAACATATGGGGTTTTGAGTTTCCAAGCGCCCACGCCCCCCTGCCCGCGCCTCGCTCTAAAACGCATGACTCCCCTTTTTCTCAAGTATGAAAGCTGAAAAATGATTACAACTACTGTTTTCAAACACTACACGTACGACCGTCTCTCCCGTTGTCGAGGATCTTTCGCTGCAGGTCTCTGAGTGAAAGAATCAGCTTGTTGTCGCTTGAACTTCCCCAGCGGGTCCCGTGGCGCACCAGATGGAAAGTGTTGACTGGCTCACAGCCTGGCAGGGGGGAGAAAAATCGACTGTATTATTGGAACGTTACATAAAAATAGCAACTCAACAAAAATAAAACTTCATGTTGGGTAAAGTACAAGCAGGAAGCGCATCAACCTTGTATCACGACGGCCTCCACTTCGTCGCCCGAAGGGCGCGAAGGGTAGGCCGAATTGAGGCCGAAGTTTCGGAACTTCACACCGTTGCAGACGCCGGCACCACTACTTGCTGCCCCCCGTCCCAGCAATGCGAAGACGATGGTCGCAGTGATGAACCCCGAGGGGCGACAATAAACGACGGGCCGGGTCATGTCGACAACTGGTGGTCGACGGTGACGAGCGAGGAGACGAAGCAAGCGCGACTGGTGGCTCCGGGCCGGGACCTCACAGCAAGAGGACGCGACGAGCGAGACGAACGTGACGAACGTGACAGGGTGGCCGCCATGGCGAGTAAAGAGAACCAACGATACTGGACAGTATTGGGCACGGTAGGACCTTATTTGCGCTCGCGGTGACGTGCACGTCCGAGTGACACAGCGTGAAACCCGGCGCACAAACTCTTTTTTTTTATGAGTCAAGTTTATAGTTACACAACATGATCATCCCTGTCAGAAAACTTGGTTAAGGAGGTGTGTGTCGCTGGCGGCTTTTGATGTTGACTGAAGTGACGAAAGAAAAGATAGCGGGGCGTAGGGCAAACATCGGCTGGGCCGTCACCCGGCGCAGCCGCCGCCGTGTCCCTTACACAGCCAGTGTACCCGAATTCGTCACTCAAAGAAGGTGTGCAGTGAGAGCATCTCCCCAGGAAAGTGCGTGTCCGTCGAAAATGTTTCACTGAGCTGAGCAGCATCGCTTTGGTGCAGGACTGTCGAGGGGAGCAGAGGACGAGGAAGTGCGCTCGATACGTTCAACGCCAGCCTGCAGAATGACCAAGTCGTCTATCTCTATCGGTAAGACGCAGATGAGTTCATTGATGAGAAGCGCAAAGGGCGTAGGTCCATGGGCTTCCCATTTGACTTACGCCCTTTGCACTTTTTACTGGTGAGTTCTGAACGCTTATCACTCTGCAACAATAACTCTTGAAACGGCATTTTTCTGCGCAGCGCATCCAGAGGCGCCAGACGCTCCGAAATGCAAGGCTGCTACTGTGGAGGAGGCTACCGAGCTGCTCGGTGAGGGATCGTTGTTCATGAAGTAAACGCCTATTACCCTACCCCTCTAAAAAAAAAAAGAATCACCTCTAAAACGTCTTGATTGCAAAACTGGCCAGGCTCGGGGCTCTTCCACTGGGTGCTGGTCGTCGCCACCGGCATGTGCTCGGCCAGCGCCGTGTTCGAGGCCATGTGCCCGTCGTACCTCTTCTCACCCGCCGCCTGGGCCACCTGTGACCTGGACCTGGAGGACGCCGACAAGTCCCTCCTGAGCGCGATAGTGTTCGCCGGTGAGCTTTGTCACGACATCTCTCAGTCACACCCACCCGGCCCATACTTACGTCCCGTGAAATGCCCCCCCCCCCTCTCTCTCTCTCTCTCTCTCTCTCTCTCTCTCTCTCTCTCTCTCACTCACTCTCTCTGTCTGGCTCTCTCTCTATCTATCTCCCTCCCCCCAACACAAACACCACAGATACGGCCAATAGTCAAACGTTTAATTGAGTGACAAAGGTCCCAGCAAAGGACGGCTCTGTTTGTGATCATTGTGTCCAACTGTCACTCGCGGTTACACGGCCCGTTTTTCGTGTGCCACACCGCTACACCTCACATTTTGAAACCTCGTGAAGTCGTTGATGGACCCGAGCCCTGTGTTCGCAGGCATGCTGACGGGCACGCTGCTGTGGGGCGTGGCGGCCGACTCCTGGGGGCGAGTGCCGCTGCTGCGCCTGACCTTGCTGGGCGACGCAGCCATGGGCGTCGTATCTTCCCTCGCGCCCGACAAGCGCCTGTTTATCGCCGCGAGGTTTTTCACAGGCTTCCTGTGAGTATAAATAGCAGCACACGCTGGTCGGTGGCAAGTAAGTATGTGGCGTGTGGCAGAAAAAAAAAGAAAAAACGCACACGAAAAAGAAAGTAGCCCCGTGCGAAACGAACAATGCCGTGCAATGCCGCAAAGTGCTACCCGTGGCGTGGCGTTGTAAACACTTTCGATGCGGCATGGCTACAACGTGATCACGCTCTGCTGTTTTTGTGGGATCGTCCAGAAAGTACGCCTTGTCATTCGCCGTGGCCGCATTCAGAGCATGAAGCCTCACTAAACGTGTTGAGTAAAGTGTCACACCCCTGAACTTTGGCCGCGCAGGGTCGCCGGCCCGACGTCCACCGCCATGGCGTATCTGGGAGAGTTCCACTCGGAGAGGACCCGCTCGAGGGCCATGGTCATCTTCGGCGTGTTCCCCGGCGGCGCGTCCCTGGCCGTGGCCGCCCTCGCCTACCTCGTGCTGCCCCTGGACCTCGCCTGGAGCCTGCCCTGGCTGCACACCGTCAGGTATCAGCCGCAACAAGCAACATCGTTTAGGTATCGCTTCGATAACGTTCCGATATCTTTTCGATATCGTTTAGAAATATCGTTTTGATTTCGAAACAATATTAAAACAACATCACACCGATACATCGAAACGATATCACGGCAATATCAAAACAACACCGAAGCGATATCGAAACGATATCTAGAGGGAGTCTGCTTGTGCGCAGGTCGTGGCGCTTGTTCATCCTGCTGAACGCCGTGCCCTCGCTGCTCACGGGGCTGACCTTCCTGTGGCTGCCCGAGTCGCCGCGCTTCCTCCTCGCCACGGGCCGGCCGGACGCCGCGCTGCGAGCGCTGCGCTGGGCGCACGCGCGCAACCAGGCGAGTAGTACGCGGCGCGATATCGAAACGATAACGTTTCGATATCGAATGTCCTGAAGTGTATCGTAAACGATAAAAAATTGAACTTGATTTAGATATATTTTCGACATGCGATGTCGAAACGATATCGTATCGATATTTCACTTCGCACTAGGTAGTATGGGCCCCCGTGAGAAATGGGTGGTATCCCGTAACGATGTCGAAACGATGTGGACGTCAAAAAAAATTGTTTACGTCGGGCCCATAACTATACTTCCAACTATACAACAAGCACCTTATTATACAAGGCACTTTTGTAACTGCACAGAAAATGCTTATAGTTTATGAAACTAGCGTCGTTGGTTGTTGTATTTTTAGGGCAGCGGGAAAGAGTACCCGGTGACCTCGCTGGTAACACCGCTGGAGAACACCAGCGCCGGCGGCGGGGGCCTGCTGGGCCTCGTGAGGCAGACGGCGCGGCTGTTCGGCAAGGAGCACGTCCGCAACACCCTCATCCTGTGCACCGTCCTCTTCGTCGTGGTCTCGAGGTGGGGTACCCACACCCCCGGGCTGAACTGAGCACGTACTTCCGGTGTACTTCCGCTATACACCGTTCGCTTCCGGTTGCCAACAGCGCCAACGGGCTCCTGGTGTGGATGCCGGAGATCTTCAACAGCGTGGCCACCTTCTCCAAGCTGGAGCCCGACACGCCGGCGACGGCCTGCCAGGCCATCTACGGCCTGCGGGAGCTCGCCGTCAACAGCTCCGCGGTGGCCGCGGCGGCCGCCGACGCAACCGCGCGCCCACCGGGAAGACAAGTACGATTTCTGCCCAAGGCCCAAAGATCGTTTGCGCAATGTTATCGTATTTTAATGGCAAAATCGTCCAATTTGAAAATAATATACTTTTGGTTGGGGAGAAAAGGGTGATTATAGGGGAGACATGACTTGCATGGAGACAGAATCAGTTTTTCTGGGGCGTAAGCAGCAGCTTGTTTCTTTTCAGGTCTGCGGCGGAGTTCTGGAGGACGCCATGTTCATCAACACGGGCATCATCGGGATGTCGAACGTCGCGGTCGGCCTGCTGAGCATCGTCGCCATCGGCATCCTGGGGAAGAAGATGCTTCTAGGTGATACTCCACTCCAATTTCCCAACAGAAGGACGTTTGCCCCGTGTGTATTTGGGTGATGTTGACACGCTGCGCCTTGCCCGGCCGTGCCCCACAGTGTCGTGCCTGGTGCTGGCGGGCGCCTGCAGCGTGCTCCTGACGGTCCTGCAGTCCACCGCCGCCACCATCGGGCTCTCCTGCGGGCTCGTCGCCCTCACCAGCGTCTGCATCAGCGTCGCCATCTCCGTGGCGGTGGAGAACTACCCCACCATCCTCAGGTGCGACAGAAAACGTCCCGCGGACAGGTATTTTTCGGAATGTTTGTTTAAAGATTATTTTTTTTTG